TTGGGTGGAAAATTCGCAATCCCCTATCCTGTCTGTTTCGTGACCAGCCACTTGGCCTAACACATGGCCAGCCAGGCTACAGCGCTAAGTTTGATCGCTAGCTCGAAGTTGCTGTCGCAACTATGGAAAGGCGACACAGTGCCATGATTAAGGATGCTAACCAAAAGCGCCGGCCTGCACCTTTCACAGTGGGAAGTTATGTTTGGGTCAAAAGCACGAGTTTTATGAGGAAGAAGATGTATCACGAAAGCTTCTTTCTCAATATTACGGTCTGTGGAAGGTGCTGAACGAAGTAGGGGAAGATTCATTTGGTCCTTCTTACACGATCGACGTGCCTACTCATCTGCGCACATACCCAGTCTTTCACACGTTAAAGTTGTTTCCGTATGAACCACCCGAAACTTTTCCGTATCGAGAATTGATGACTCCTCGCGCAATCAATGGCGGCCACGAGATTGATAGAATTGTCGAGCATAGTGGAAAGGGGACAAACAGACAGTACAAAGTTCATTTTTTGTGGAGCCTGTTGAATAACTTTTACTGGATGGCTAGGAAAGACTTGTTGTAGAGTGCCCCGCGAGTTGTTAACGTATATGTACGACTGATTAGCTCCGAACAAGAACGCAAATTCACTTTTACCCTCACTGATCTCTCTTTGCTAATTACGCTTATAATGCATTATGCGGGTACTCTGATTGAGTTACTCGCTCGAAGGGACCTCACTCTTGAGGGGGGGGTAGTGTAATGACCCGTCATAACACAGTCTGAGAACACTGCTGATTTTTGAAGTTCTGCCGATGGAATGGATGCGTTGTTGAGATTCCCGCATTCTGTTGAGTTTTCTAAGTCTGTATGTGTGCGTGCCTGTTGACTTGTCTTAGCGCTTGTCGGCATGAGTATGTGTGTGACTCGCAAGGGTACTTGCTTGTTTGGAAGGCCCGTAGGGCCGGTACTTGCCTGTGGCCGTGGCATTGAGGGTTGCAGCAGGGGAAAACACACACGGCCCTTGGAGTAGCGTAAAACACACGCTTGTCGGCAGGGGAAAACACACACGCTTGTCGGCATGAGTATGTGTGTGACTCGCAAGTAGGCCGGTACCGCACCCAGTAGCACTAGATGTGCCGGGTACTGGAGGCCGAGCAGAAGAAGAGCAAGCACTAAGTTTGATCGCTTGCTCGAAGCTGCTGTCGCAGCTATGGAAAGGCGACGCAGTGCGATGATTAAGCATGCTAACAAAAAGCGCCAGTGTGTACCTTTCACAGTGGGAAGTTATGTCTCGTGAAAATGTCTCAGTTTTCTAAAGGTGTATCACGAAAACTTCTTCCTCGATATTATGGTCCGTGGAAGGTGCGGGAAGTAGGGGAAGATTCATTTGGTCCTTCTTACACAATCGACGTGCCTCCTCATCTGCGCACATACCTAGTCTTTCACTTGTCAAAGTTGTTTCCGTATGAACCCCCTGAAACTTTTCCGTATCGGGAATCGATGATTCCTTGCGCACTCAATGGCGGCCACGAGATTGATAGAATTGTCGAGCATAGTGGAAAGGGGAGAAACAGACAGTACAAAGTACATTTTCTGTCCCACCCGTTGAATGACTTTTACTGGATTGCTAAGAAAAGTTGCAGCAGAGTGCCCGGGAGTTGTCAACGCATATGAACGGTTGATTAACTCCGAACAAGAACCTAAATTCACGCCTACCCTCACTCCTACGGAACATACCTGATCTCTCTTTTCTATTTACGCTTATGATGTATTATGCAGGGACTTCGATTAAGTTACTCGCTCGAAGGGACCTCACTCTTGAGGGGGGGGTAGTGTAATGACCCGTCATAACACAGACTGAGAACACTGCTGATTTTTGAATTTGTGACGATGGAATGGATGCCTTGCTGAGATTCCCGCATTCTACTGAGTTTTCTAAGTTTGTATGTGTGTGTGTCTGTTGACTTATCTGAGTGCTTGTCGGCATGAGTGTGTGTGTGACCCGCAAGGGTACTTGCTTGTTTGGCAGGCCCGTAGGGCCGGTACTTACCTGTGGCCGTGGCATTGAGGGTTGCAGCAGGGGAAAACACTCAAGTGGCGGATCCAGAGGCCGCGGCCCTTGGAGCGGCCGGTATCGCACCCAGTAGCAGTAGATGTGTCGGGTACTCGAGGCCGAGCTGAAAAAGATAAAGTTGGCATTTCTAGAGGTCCAGTAGCGGTAGGCTAGGTCTAGGCCGGTACCAGTCCATTTGTTTCCCTCCGAAAGGGAGGAGGTACCGGTTGCTTGGGAGGCCGAGTAGCCTGGAAGTCACCGCCCAGGAGGCAAGCAGGCCGCTGTATCAAGAGGCCGAGGGAAGAGCTCGACCTCATTCTTCAGTGTGCGAGCTGGGCATCACGCTGCTGGAGCGCTGGTTGGAAGAGCGTTGGTTGATACAGCAATGCTGGGAGGAAGAAGCGGGGAGTTTCCACCTTGGCTATGGTGGAGCTGTACCGGTAGGAGGAGGAGGGAGAAGGGGACCAAGGAGGAGAATGGTGAGGTACTTACCTGGCTATGGTGGACACCAACTTCATCACCTTGTTAGGCGCTGGATGTGAAAGCCCCCCGTTGGGGTAGTGCCGCACCAAGGAAGCTCGGAGCAGAGACAGGCATGGCGGCCTAGTGAGCAGTGGCAGCGACGTAGCTGCTTTGGGTTGTCCTTTGGACAGGAGGGTAGAGCCCTCAGTGCTTCGCCATAGCCTCGGCCTGCATGTAGAGGAAGAGGAATGATGGCCATGGCTATTGCGGACCTCATGTTGTGCCTGCAGTAGAAGTGGGATTCAGACACTCATTTTGGTGCAGCCATTCAACATTATTGTTGTTCTTTCTTGTTTGAATAAGAGGGTAGGAGATAAGGAGGAGGAGATTGGTTCGCGAAGAAGAAGAGCCTTGTCATTGGTCTATGCTGGACTAACATCATCTTCTTCTTCTTTCTTTTTTTTTTTTTTTTTTTTCCCCCTCTCTCCCCTCTCAAGTTCATTCAGTTCTTTTTGTAATTGGACGACATTGTACTTTCTGATGAATGTATACTTTGAAATTGGCCAGGATTGTAACAATGGTATCAGAGCGGATTCTACTTGTGGGCGAGAGTGGACTTTGTCGCCATAACCCTAACCCTAGTGGTAAGGGCTAATCACTTAGGGTTAGGCTGGAAGTTAGGGTTAAGTGGGGCAGCGTGGTATATGGAAGCTGCTTCCACCTGGCAGGGCCATGTAGGGTCGACATTAGACCCGACCAAGTAGCTTGAGTGCATGCTTGTGGTGGCGAGACACAAGGTGGGACTTCGTGATGCAATTTGAGAAAGGCGACAGTGAAGGGCACCTACAATTGGAATCTGGACTTCAAGGAAGACGAGGAGTGACTTTAGGGCGTCCCTCAAGTTACGGGAGCTTGAGCCTTATCTGCACCTACGGACTGCAAGTTGCTACTTTGATCCTGAACATCGACGAGGGATCCAAATTAATTCAATTCTAAAAATAAATCGTCTGTATACGTGATCCTATGGGCGCTCCTGCGTTTTCTTTTATTTACTTCGGCCTCTCACTCAACTCACTCACTCGAAGACTGGAACTACGAAGCAAGTAGAATTTTCAGATTGATTTGTCTTAATGTAGTTAAGGAAGTATATATTATAGCAATCACACTAAGAGTATAAATGAAAGGAGTGAAATAAAGAGTAGCTTCTGGAAACATTGGTATTGAAAATCTTAAAAAACCACAAGTTCCCAATTTTAAGAGAATTCCTGCTAAGATAAGAGATCCAACGGTGGGTGCTTCTACATGAGCTTCAAGTGACCAAATATGAACTGGTACCATAGGTACTTTCACTGCAAAAGATGCAAAAAAAGCAATCCATAACAATATTTGACGTCGTTCGCTAAATTCTGTTGTTAATAAAATTTGTAAATCAGTGGTTCCCTCCTAGATGATAGGACACTAGTGTAGAGGATGCTAATTGGGTCAGGAGGACTATGTGAGATGTGAGAGCGGGGTGAGTTTCGTTCATCTCTACAGCCCGACCACTTAGTGTCGCCAGGGTGCCCATATGTGTGTGTGTAGAATTGACTGCTTGCTGTGGTATTCTGGGTTCTTCTTCCATCCTGCATAGTCGTGATCTTGTGTAAGGTGTGTGAACTGCTTACTCACCTGATGAGTGAATGAATGTAGCATCTTGCGTGCCGTGCTACATCTTTCTACAGTGTTTTGTTTATTTCATTATGAACGGTTGTAGCCGGTAGGTTCTTTGTGGGGCAAAATTTCATTTTTCAATTCGGTAGGGACATAGAGTAGATCTTTGTGGAACTCTTGTTGGTTGGGACCCGGTTCTGACTCCGTTGGGAGCAATCGGGACTCTGTGGGACCGGGCCCCAAACAAGAAGGGCCCCTCAGGCCCAAATATGTTTTCGTCAGTTACCTTGGTCTATCTGATTAGAACTTGGAGTTTATGCTTTCGGACCAAGACACTCGCTGTTGAGGGGAGCTCAGCTGAGACGCTTGAACAGACTTTACCGCACGATCCGCCGCCTGACTCGCATCTTGGACACCACTCAATTCTCTCTTGCATTACATAGAACACTTTGAATTTGATTTGTTGTGTCTTTACGGAGCTGAGTTCGACTAGGCTTGAGAGGACCTCATACGTAGTCAGACGATACTGTGTAGCGAAATCAGATTCTCTGATCCTTTATTCTTTTGTTGTTTTGGCTGCTCTCCAGTCCAAATGAATTGTCGCTCCGGCTAGGAGTTCTACCTTCATTTCTAGTTGCTTTCAATATTGTTTCTTTCATTGGGTTCGTTAAATGTCTTCCTACACGATCGCAAGCGAGAGAGAGATTGTAGAGTGAGAAGCTTCTGAGTGTTGCTCTTGAGGGAGTGAGGAGAGGACAAAGAAGTGTTCGTCCCAGAAGTGTGAGGAAGTATGGATCTCTCCTGGGAGACTTATTGACACCCTCGTCCTCCATCATGGCATCTGCAACAGAATGGAAGCTGCAAATGGACGTTGCCCCTGAGCTAGAAAAAGCGCAGTACCAGTTCTTTTATGAAAAAGCATTGAAGAGGGAAGAGGAAGAGAAGGAGAAGGAGAAGGAGAGGGGTGACAAAGTAAAGGCTCATGAAGCCGTTCTTAGTACCGTGCCCGCCTTAACTGATGATGAGGTGGAACAAAAGACTGTCCCACTCCTTGGCGCTTTAGTAGAGGTCCGCGCTATTAAAGACCATATAGCCCAACTCGGCAAGATGTTTGATGAACTCCAGAAGTTGCTCGAGGATATGACCCCGATCGCACAGCAGCACCATGACCAACTGCAACAGTTTGCTAGCTTGCAGCTGGCCCAAAGTCTTCTTCCGCCTGCTTACCCTGCTTCCAGTGTTGCGTGTCAGTGCGTTCTTGCCCCTCCAACCATATCTTTTTCTTGTTCTTCTTCTTCTTCTTCTTTGAGTGTGGTCAACAGCCTCATCGGATTTGCAGCAGGTCCAGACCCCGTTGTTGCCGCTGCTGCTACTGCAGCGGCAAGTGGCAGTGTAGGGCATTTGAACTATTGCAGCTCCGAATTCAAACCCAACAATCAGTGGTCCTAGGTGCAACTTTCCTTACATGGACCGGAAAGCGGCACACATTCCGTCTAAGTATGACGGAAAGGACGACATTGAATCTTGGATCAGCTCTATGCGATCGTACTTTGATGTGTTGGGGACACCCGCAGTTACTCAGTCGTTGGTCCTAGGGACCAATGTGGAACCCGCCGTAAGGGGCTTCTTAGAAGTCCAAGTTGTACAATCAAGCTATAAAAGAATAGACCTGGACAAATGGCAGAAGGCTACGCCTATACGCGCACGCGAGGAACTCTTGTATGTTACTAAATTCTTTGCTACTCCAGATCTGGAGACGACTGCGCAATGTTGCTTGGATGTGATAAAGGTACTGTCCCCTTTACGGTGACACATCGCATGGGGCTCGCACTCATAACATATACAGATTGGCTTACCCTCATGCGGGATTTAGTCTAGCTGGAGGCACAAGACCTCCCAGGTGGATCGGGTGGCAAAAATCCTACCGACCGCAAACAGTTTCCAGGCAGTAACTGTTTTGCAGTGCACGATCTACTTGAGGTAAACGAGGAGACCTTCGTAGAGGACCCTTCTCTTGATGACCATCAAGAGCAAGACTGCGAGGCATCTTGCTCTTCATCAGCGCATTAGTCTGAGTATGTAAATGACCATGAATCTATGAATGCCTTTAAGAAGACTCCCTTTAAAAGTAAGGGACTGAGGACCACAGTGAAGAACAATACTAACACCTTTCTCCTTCCCAAGGGAGTGAAGATTCCACCCAAACCGGGAGATCCTGCCACAAAACCATGGGTAGATCTCCGAATCAGTGAAAGTGAGTGGAAACACAGGGTGAAGAAAGGGGTTTGGCTGCACTGTACCAAACCGGGAAACTCAGTCCAACATTGCTTCAGATTGCAGCAGGGAAACCAGCAACGTGGGTAGAGACACCATCAACACACTCTACAGATGGAGAGGCTGAACATGTAAGTGCAGATCCTTCACTGGATTCTGATCCCACTCAGTAAACCTCTCTTGAGAGCCTATCAGATGCTGATTCCAAGGCTGAGAAAGTGCACATGGTATACTTTGGGTGGAGTCAGAAGAAATTGACTTCTATGCTCTATTGACGCGCTGGGCTCACGTAACGCAAGAACGTGTAAGGGAAAACGAAGTTTATCTTCTTCAAACTTCGCATTAACGGCTGTTACATCCGTGTGTTGGTTGATTGTGGCTTAACCTCGAACTACTTCTCACCGCACGACATTCGTAAGGCACGCTTGGGAATGAAGCAAGTGACTTTGCAGAATCCTTGTAGAAGCAACCAAGAGGTTGTCACATCTATGCATGAAGTCAAAGGTGTGCGCACTACCTTTGACGCAGACCGCACAATCACGCATGAGTTGAACTTCTATGTCCGTGATAAGTGCCCTTCGATGCGGTTATTGGCTTGGGCTGGTTGCAGGCCCAATGTGAAAGAACCACGTGGAAGGACTCACAATTCATGGTCAAAGATGCCATGGGAATCGAGCGTCTTGTCCTCTTGGATGAATCGCACGAGTCCCAAGTTACTTTTCTCAATACAATGCAATTCTGCAAAAAATGGCGCAGGCGCAAAGTTGATTAGCAATTGTATATAGCCTTTGTTAGGCTTGCTCATGTGCCTTCTATTTTTGTTTTATATAATGATTCTACTTTGCATGTCGTTTCTACTTCTAATGCAACTACTTCTACCTCTACTAAGTCTAGTTCTAGTCCAAAAGACCTTGCTTCAAATTTTGTTGTTTTGGCTGCACCTATGCAATCTGGTATGCGTGCACTTGAAAGTGATGATCCACCTCCGGAAGTCCCATCAGAAATCTGCAACCTTCTCAACCGATTTCCTGAAGCCTTGGCCGAACCGCATGGAATTTTCGTGCGTCCGGTCGGACACAAGATCGAGTTGATTGAAGGTTGCACACCTCCAAAAGGTTGTGTCTATCGAATCGGCTCAGGCAAATTGGAAAAGTTGAGAAGACAGATCAATGACATGATTGGGAAGGGATGGATCAAGCCAAGCGAATCCGAATTTGGTGCAGCGGGTGTGTTTGTCCCGAAGAAAGAAGGCAAACTATGGACGTGTATTGATTACCACGGACTGAATAGAATAACAAGCAAGAATGCATACCCTTTGCCGTGTATTGATGATCTACTTGATGCTGCAGGTGGATGCAAGGTTTTCAGCAAGATCGATCTCAAGTCTGGCTACTACCCAATTGAAGTCGACCCTGCAGATCAGGATAAAACTGCATTCAAAACTCGCGATAGGTTGTACGAGTTTACCATGATGCCCTTTGGCCTCACGAATGCGCCCGCCACTTTCAAAGTCTCATGGATAAGGTGTTCCGTAATCAGATCAATCGATTTGTTGTTGTTTATTTGGATGACATACTAATCTTCAGCAAGTCGATGGAGGAGCATATGAGACACCTTGAGGTGGTGGTAATCAGATCAATCGATTTGTTGTTGTTTATTTGGATGACATACTAATCTTCAACAAGTCGATGGAGGAGCATATGAGACACCTTGAGGTGGTGTTGCAGATCCTCAAGCATGCGCAACTCCATCTCAACTTGGAGAAATCTAAGTTTGGGAGGGACAACGTCATCTACCTTGGACGTTGGTTGTTTGCTGCAGGCCAAGAGCTCGACGCAACCAAAGTTTAGGTCATCCCGCAAATGGCCTCAACCGGCAAATGTCTGCGAGTTGCGTTCTTTTCTTGGTCTTGCGTCATACTACCGTAAGTTTGTAACCCAAATTCTCTATCATTGACCAACCGCTGTCTAGATTGACCAGCAAGAATGTGCCCTACACATGGGATGGGGAATGCCGAACAACCTTCCAAGCATTGAAGGACGCTTTGGCGAGTCATCCGGTGTTCCACATTGCAGATCCCAAACTTAGATTCATATTTACTACGGATGCAAGCTTGTATGGGATTGGTGGTGTGCTGCAACAAGATGATGGCGACGACTTACGTACGCTCGAATTCTACAGCAAACGTATGCCCAGTCACAAGCTAGCTGCCTCCACTTACATGCGAGAACTCTATGCCTTGAGAGAGGCACTAGATAATTGGAAGCACTAACTCTTGGGTCGCCGTTTCAAAGTGTTCTCAAACCATGAGACTTTGAAATGGATTCAGACACAGAATAATCCATCAACTACATTGACCCGCTGGTTGCATCAGATTGCCGTGTATGATTTCGAACTTAAGGAGAAGAACGGTTGTTTCAATCGCGTTGCGAATGCTTTGCCTCACCACCCAGGCAGAAGAAAGGTTGTTACATCGTCTTGTGGGCTCCTATGATCTCCGTAAGAACTTGAAGGAGAATTTAGTTGAGCATACTGCCAAGGATCTAAATTGTCAGTTTCATCCCTGAGCAGATCCAGGCTGACCCTTGCAGTCAGCCTGACTTCCATGAGTGTAAAGGTTTGCATTTCCGAAGTTACAGGAAGTACGACCGTCTGTGTGTACTCAATCTTGAGCCTATCCATACTCACTTCTTGGACTTAACTCATGATCGAGGTGGGCACTTCAGTTTTCAAAAGATATCCCGGACAGCTAGTCCGAGATATCTCGGACTGCTGGGCAGCCCTCCCCTCACCATTATTTTGTTTTCTTTTCTCTCATGGCTCTCCCGCTTGACTCCACTCGTGGTTGCACTAGTGGTGCTAATATTTTCCACTGTCTAGATCTTGATCTCGACGGTGCCGTTTGCTTTGCATGATATATCCTCATGTTGGCTCATGGTTCCCTTGGGACATCTTAGGTCCCCCCCACTCTCCCCGTACTTGTTCCATTTTTTTGTCTCGTCGGTAGTCCCGCTGGTGCATGTTCTATTTTTCGACTATTTTTATTTGGGGCCATTCAATCCCCGGTATCGTCTCGGACGACGTCCCATTTTTATTTTGGGACCTCCTTGTCCCTGTCAGTTCCAATATCCCCTCAAGTTCCTCATGTGCGTCGATTATTCTCGGTCGCGAGATCCTCATCCCAATGTTGTTGTTTACCGTCTCTATTTGCCTCATGCCGAAGTCACTTTTTTTTCTTGCCTTTTGGGTTTGCCATGGCCGATTTTCTCTTGGCCTAAGCATCCTTATGCAGTCCGTTATCTCTCGGACTGCAACTGTGGCGATCCCTAGTCCCACAACCCACAACTTGCCCCAAATTGAAAGAAAATGAAGCGTTGTCGAGCGCATCGGTCCAGCACCGCACAAGTGGGGCGGGACCTCCCGGCCGCGTCACGCAGGAGTTGGTCTGATCCTTGTCGCGATACTCATGGAGCTTTTGCAAGCTTCTTCGGCCGAGTGCACCAGCTATACCTCTCACGAGCCCCTACGACAGGATAGGGCCTACTCAAGGGACGACTTACCTCCACCTTACGGGAGTTGTCACCTCCCCCACGAGCCCCTACGACAGGATAGGGCCTACTCGAGGGACGACTTACCTCCACCTTACGAGAGTTGTCACCTCCCTTCGGTGGGCGTATCCCCGCCGAGCTACCAATCCACAATACGAAAGCTAATTAGTTGCAATCGCAGAGGTGGACTAGCCGAGGGTGTTTCTCGTACGCTGTAGCATATAGGGAGTACGAGCGGGTTTACGCCTCTATCGGACCCACACGCGAAGCAACGATTTGGGTGGCTAAGGTCCCAAGCGCGACCCATCGTCGGTCGACTAGGACTCATCCCACACACCATGCGTACATCACTTTAAAGACGTAAAAATTAAAACACACACGCACACACACACACACACACACACACACACACACACATAACTCTCCGATGCAGAAATCTGATCGAGGACGCGCGCGAGACTTCAATATAAATCCGTGCGGACGCAAGGCCTTCTCTTATCGATTAGCAATGCATGAATACGCAAGCAGTCGCAATGATTGCGTACTATGTAGTGCCCATAATCAAGCAGCCCCTCGTGGGTTCGAGTACCGCTTATGACACTCAAGTGTCAAACTCGGAATATCGTGAAGGTCTACCCCTTTACGATATTGCACGGTTGAAGGAATAGTCGTGCAGCCTTCGTGGCACCTCCAGCCTTTAGGCTGAGTGTTCCGATGGGCAGGGCAAATAGGCTCTGCGAGGGGGGCGATCCCTTTCATGCAGAGTCTAGGACGTTGGATGTCCTGGACAAGGACCTCGAATCCACGCCCAGGACCAACGTCCGATTAAGAAATCTTTAAAAAGCAAATAATCACTAAAGGGAGGGAATCCCCCTTCCTTTGTCAACCTCAACCCCGTTTAAACCCTTAAGGGTGGGCCCCTCAGGCCACGCGAATACCCAAACATAAATATGTGCATATATATATATACACATAGCCCCTCGTTTGTTGTCCTCTTCTCTCTCTCTGCCTACGGTTTTACCGGGCAGTTATGTTTGTGACGATGTCTACTTTGATTTTGGTTGAGGTAGATTATCATTTACAGTGTAATCAGTGAGGGGATTCTGCAGACTGTTGAGGGTTCAGCCTCCTGATGAGTCGGTGAAACTCCGACGAAACAGTTTGTCACAGCCCCTCGTTTGTTGTCCTCTTCTCCCTCTCTGCCTACGNGGTGAAACTCCGACGAAACAGTTTGTCACAGCCCCTCGTTTGTTGTCCTCTTCTCCCTCTCTGCCTACGGTTTACCGGGCAGTTCTATTTGACGATATATATATATATACCCGTCCTCATATTTCTGCATGCATTTTGCACAAACCCGAGCACTATATGACACTCATTCGTGCAGCTGTCTAGTGGGAACTGTGGGATGGTGGGACGGTGATTGAGGTTATTGTCAACATAAATGAATTCTTGCGAGGTTTGTCGAATCATACACTGTTCTGGATTGTTGAGCATCTCTCGCGCAACATTTATTGGGATAGAGACGTGGTGCGTCTTGGTTGAGGAGTGCATTATCTGTGTCAGCACCATTATCAATCCATTGCGACTGCCGCCGTATGTGCGGAAGGGTGTCTAACATTTCCTCATTGTGCATATCCCTATCACCCAGATGTACGTTGTCCTTTCTGTTCCCAAGGACGCTATCAGAACTGCATGATGCCGCACTGTGACGAATGTCCAGCTGTTTTCTTGACGTGTGGGCAACATGTCCTATGTCGGGATTGTTTCGATGGGATGGTTTGTGCTAGCCGTCCGGGTGAATGTTGTACTAACGCAACTCTCCTTGGGTATTCCTGTGAACATTCCCGTCATCCTCACCGTAGTTGTCCTATCTGCCGAGGGGGTGACAGATGAAGTGTAGAAGAAACAGATAAAAAAAGGAACCGAGTAAAAAGATACAAAATAAGTAAAAAAAGAAACCAAGGAAGAAAAAACACAAAAAAGGAAACCTGAGAAAAAAGAAAAACATATATTATGTGGGATGGTAATAGGATTATCTGTGGGATGCGTCACTTGCTTCGTCTGTTTAATGGGCTTTCTTCTTCTGTGAGGTTTGGTTTCCTCCGCCCTTTCTTTACCTCTTTGCCTTTTGGCTGCGTGCAAGTGGGTCTTTATGACACACTGGGATGGGGGCAGCCAACGCTCAACCTATCATCCACGTGGCTGGCCTTGTACGTAAGAGGTGACGAACAGGTGGGTCTTTCCTTCCTTCCTTCTGTTTCTTTTTCTTGTTTTGTCTTTTTTCGCCTTTGCATTTCGATTTTCAATGTGACAATATATATATTGGGGAATAGTTTTGTGACGACCACTTGTCACAATCACAGTGGAACTCCTCATAGCCGTATATATGAATGTGATCACAGGCAGTTAAATCCAAAGTCCGAACCACACAACATACCTGCAATCAGATTAAATAGTCAACCAAAAGTCTACACACTACACGGAGTCAACTTCAACCATTCTCTATACTCAATACCCCTCGCTTTAGCCATGCAAGCCCCAACCTTTATCCAACCTTCGCTAATTAAATACTCAGTACCTTCGTCAAATGGCCAGTCAATAAAAGTCCGGGTGAAAACCTTAATAAAACAATAAACCCACCAGGGCTAAAGCCTTTTGAGGTCTAGTAAACCGGCGAATCGGCAACTGACCTGTTATTAGTGATAACAGAAGATGATCCTCATGGGATCACGCTGAATCTATTCCAGATCCTGAACCGAATGATCAAGAGGACTTGTAACACAGAATAGGCCAATACCCAAGCTAAACTATAAGTGTATGGAGAATCAAGCTCCATAGCACATACGCACCCAAGGTCCTCCTACAAGCTAAGCCTAGGTCTACCTCTAAGCCAATACCCAACTCAAG